ACAACATAATAAAATAAGCCTCAATGATGCATGGTTAAGGGCTCTCCAGATATCGTGTCTTGATAAATAATTAAACCCAAAAAATAATAAACAAATAAATATTTAACTTGCTATTTGTCATGATAAAACTATAAAATACCCCTAATCTTTAGAATCAGGTCTCTTGTTCCATTTTTTTATTGCACTCTCGTGTTTCATTCTGTTGGATGCATGACACGTGACGTTCTCACATACACATGTCATGAATTTAATAGCAGGAAATAAATGAAATAATATTTACCTCCGATAATCTATCAGTGATGATCCAATAAACAATGTAGAGAAAGCCATGAGCTGTGAAAAGTGCCATGGCCATATTTCCAAGCCAAATGTGGTACTTTATACTGCCCTCTGATGTTAGTCCAAATATAGGCAAAATAGAAGAACCTCTTGTAACAGGATAGAACAAAAATGTGAGGCACAAATTCCCTGTCACCCCTGTCACTATACCCACTCTATCCAATTTGGTTTGCCATCTGCATCATTACCAAAAACAAACAACACAACAATTATGTACAATTTAAGTTCAAATCATACTTACTCTAGTATTAATCACAAAAATATCACTAAGGTTTAGTTTAAGGCTCATCACAAAAAGTTTTAACCCTTCAACATGGGAATGAGTTAGGCAAATGCACACACCGGTGAAGATTCAATATTAAAACAAGTTATTTGCAAAGGAGGTCCTTACACTTTTTCATGTTTCATTATTGAGCGCGAAAGAACTTGTTTGAACCAATGGCGTAGATAATCCGCGTGATACCAAACACAAAGAGCTACGAACAAGGTGAAAAAGGTCAACTCTGTTATAGTAACTATTCCGAGCCCCTTAACAATCATCGGCCGCCTCATGAACCTCAACTTGTCGTCACATTTACTTTTTTTATTTATTTTTTTTAGTTCATGTCACAAAACATCATCCAAAATCGACTATTAGTAAAGAGAATTAGAGGACCAAATCTTGAAAATTTGAAATCAAGAACTCTATATAAAATAAAATCACCTTTTTGTGGTGACAATCTTTGTTTTGTTTCCCAAATGCAAATACAAGCAGCCAAGCACGGCAATGAACAACATGGGAAATGTGAAATCCAACATTATTGGACCTGTTACGAGTTTAGTTTTCATGCAGAAATGCAATCACACAACTTAAATATTTGCAAAAACATTTGTAAAAAGATATAATAAAGATAATAAATTTATGACCTTGTATGCCAAAGAAGGTTGAATTCGTATCGGCAAGAATATGAAGCAACCAATCGTTGTAATAAGTATCGGTTGGCATAATAATCCACATCATAATATTTCCAAGAAAAACCAAAAGGGCCAGCAGCAAAATTGCTCCTCTCATAGCTGTAATAACTCTAGAGGAAGACATTGTTCTGTTCTTTTGATTTCTATATATTTTTCTCTTCTCTTATGTATATGTGATATATATTTTTGTTAGGGATTTTTTTAACTTCCTTTTGAGTTGTTGTATATATAGAGTGTTGGACTCCAAATGTGAGGAGACTGTTCATTGAGTTGGACAAGTGACCACACATCATGTGTTGTTCATATCTTCTTGAACACATTATGGTTTGAATTGTGAGAAGTTATTGCAGAATACATTTGATTTGCCCTCCGGATGAATATAATCCAAGGTTATGGCAAACGATGGGGAATTGTTAGGTATTTAGTACTTGTTGATATAGATTTTGATAGTGAAATAAAAATATACGAAAAAAAGTAGTTTCTTAGGTTTGTATTTGGATCAATGGAGAAATGTCATATTCTAAACGATAGTATAAACAAAAGTATCACATTTTTTAGCATAAGTACACATTTTTGTTAAAAAAAAAATAAATAAATATGATGGGCGATATGTTTGACGGTTAGATAAAAAATTTGTGGATTTCATAAAGGTTGTGTCAATTCATTAAAATGAAAAGTTGTTATATTTCCCTTAAAGTGAAGAAACCAACAATAACTTGAATTTCTAGTGAACTTTCACTAAACAAGACACAGATTTTTCCTATTCCATGCATTGTTTCAAGTACACGAGTCAATATAACTTGTATAAGATGATGCCATAGGACTACATATGTAAGGAGAATTTTTGATAGCTTTAATACGTGTTGATTGTTTGCTATTTTGTAAGTTGTGGTTAAAATGAATTAATCAACTCGGTTGTTTTATAGGTTATGAAAATGATGATCATCCTAGAATCTATTATATATGTAAATAAAATATAACAATCATTTAGTCCATATTTCTTCTACAAGTTAATTTTCCTATTTAGTGTACTGTAATTGTATCTGTGATATTCATGATAAGGCAGCTGGGCAGCTGGTCCTTTTT